GGCATAAACCACAACCGGTTCAGAGTTCTTAACGGCTAAATTTGTCTCTTCTGAAATTATTGACCTCTGTGCAAGTCGGATCCCTCGTCCTCGCTGCTCTGGCCATCTGGCTCTTTCCGCTGAGCAAACAGACTTCTTCTAAGTGCAGTACGGCTTGTTCTGTTCACCTGCCTCCCGCAGAAGTAAATCATGCTGAACAACAACAGCGAGGATATTGTAAAGACGTTCAAGACGGCGATCGTAGCGGTTTCTCCAATTCGGTTACGTGCAATTCTGATCTGCTGAGATCATTAATGGATTTAATTATACCAAAACGCAGCCCTCCACTCACGGCCTTGCCAGCCGCCTGGTTCCCATTTCCTCTTTAATTGTGACGGATGCCATCTGGAGGGGAGCCAGTAATGGAAGAGGAGGGGGGCGTGGGGGGAGGGGGTTTGATGGCCGCAGACCTGCTCCAGGTTGGAGGCAAACCCTTTTCAGCCACCTTCAACGTCTGAGGCTTGAAGTACCATTGCCACTCACCTGGGAAATATCTCAGCCAATAGCGGTGGGGCTTGCAGTTAAGAAGGGGGGGGGGAAGCCCATTGTCTGACACGCAGATCTTCATAGCAACAAGGATCACTGCATGGCAACAGCAGCTGCTGCACAAAGGAACCATCAAAAGCCTCTTCCTCCAAATCTCTCTCTCCTTCCCTTTTATCTGGTGGATGAGAAGCACTTTGGGTTGCAATATTTCTTTTTTTCTTTTCCCCTTTATTTTGTTTTGAGAGGTATACATTTTCTCTGAAAGAGGGCAGGCCGTTCTGTCAAGTCCCCGGTGGAAAGGAAAAAAAGGAGAGGGAGGCTGTCGCCATTGTAAGCTTAGAGCAGGCCAGCTCTTTGAATTTTGCATAATTAAATTCTGCCCCAAGAGCTGAAACTTAGCGATGGAGCTCTGGTGTACAAATTGCAGAGCGTGTGCCAATTTGAAAGCATCGGTAGCCATGGTTGGAGCTGCTTGTAATATCTTTTCTATTAAATAAAATCCCCGTTCCCAACCTCCATAGCATTCAATGGTAATAGGCAGTGGGAAACTATAAAATTTGTATGAAAGAATACTTAGAAAGAATAACATTTCTCACACTTCTTGTTTCTCTTTGTAGTGCTAGAGACCTGTGGCTATTTAAAAAAAAAATTAAAAGGAAGAAAGAATTATCCAGTACTGAAGTCGAAAAAACAATGTTCATGTATTCAGAGCTAGGTGCTGTAAAAATAATTTGAACTTTTCGGCTGACAGTCCAGGACAACAAAATTGCCATGATTGAAACAAACAGGTGAAATCTGAACTGAAAAGAGCACAAAAGAATATGAGTTATATGAGAGAGCAAATGTTTTTTCTTTAAATAAAAAGGAAGTAAAACCCCACTGAACTAATATTGACAAAGTGCGATTGGTTCATGAAGACTCTCTTAATGATGCTGGTTTTCATGTGCCGTCACAAGGTGGCCAACGCAAGCAAGGAGCACAAGGTGAAAGGAAAGTTTTTCCCAATTAAAATGACCCTTTGAATTTTGGAGAAATCACTTCTCCTTAGTAGAGAAGTGGCTCTTTGGCAGATCATAGCTGGAGATCACAGCAATTCCCGAGTTACAGATATGTAACCATAATAATGTAAGAAAGCAGTACATTTTTAGTTTGGAAAGAATTGCCCAAGGATAAAATGGCTGCACTTTGGAAAATCTGACCAAACCAGCCCGTACCAACACAAAAGAATTTTGGCTCAGTAGCTGAACTACTGGAGATGACAGTTCTATCTTTTGGGCCCTATTAAAATCAAGTTTTTAATCTTGTATTGCTTTACAAAACGCTCTTTGAAAGCAGCTAGTGGCTTTTAAATAATGCGAGAGCTTGCGGGAAATGGTTTTTTCCCCTTCTCACCCTCGGCTTTCTTTTCCAGCAGAGGTGGTGGTTCTTGCGAGGCAGACAGGTTAAAAAGGCTGCTTTGCAAAATCACCTTCCGTTTCATGAAATAATTCCGCATTTATTTGCTGGGAGGGGTTTCCCCCCCCACACCCCACTCTGTGTGTGCGTGATTGATTGAGGTAGGTTAAATCTAGGACACGGTGTGTCAGGCGGGAGTTACAATTAGTCTTGTGCTTTCTTTGGTTGCCAGAGCAGCAGGCAAAAAGGAGAGAGAGAGAGAGAGAGAGAGAGAGAGAGAGAGAATGGGGGGGGGGGTTCAACCGCTGCCGAGGTCTCTGCTTTACAGAGCTCTTCATCTTTCTCCTGTGATCATGGCAGCGGGCAAGCTGCCAGGACGTCCTTCCTAATCTGACCTGCCAGCGCTGAGATGGAAGCAGCTGCTGGCGCATTGCCACACAATTAACTTGTAAGGCTCTGCAGGAAAGCCGGTGTGTGAAGCCCGAGCGTGAAACTGTACAAAGCAGCCTTGCCTTGAAACGCTGGCGCCTCCAGCTTGAGGCTGACACCTGCAGGAAGCGAGGTCCACCTCCAAGTAGAGAGGAAGGCGCCAGGATGAGTAGTGGAAGGTCATCCTGGCCGCTTACGAGTCAGCAAGAGGAGCTCTCTCCAAGGAAGGCGAGGTGAACGGAGAGGAGGAGAAATCAGCTCATCCCTCTCCCTCCCTCCAAGCCACTTCCAGAGCAAAGATAAGATTTGCCCCATTAGTTTCTTCCCCCCACATCCATCCAGGAATTATAGAACTTAAGTCTCCAAGTCCATCTGCCTATTATCCAGATTTATATCCCTGATTCTCTGCCGTATTACAACTTGAGTGTAACCCTGCCTAAGAGTTTTATTGGAGAGAATTGTACTTATCTTATCTTGCCTTTATTATATTCACCAATAACTCATGGCGGTGAACACACACACAATACTCCTTCTTGTGTTCCTCACAACACTCTTGCGAGGTAGATTGGGCTTGAGAGCAAGTGACTGGCCCAAAGTCACCCAAATATGTATTACACGGCACACTTGAAAGCCTGCAACGCTACATATTGTCAGCTTGCTTTCTACATAAAGTACAAAAACCACTGTGTGTACCCACATGTGTTTTTTTGCTTCATGACGAAAGAACAATTTTCCATTATCTTACCAGAAAGAAATTTTGCAACTTGTAAGGTTTTTCAGGGTGAAATATCTATACAAGCTGAAGCAAAGGCGGCGACATGATGATCTTAAGTTACAGCCATGTTGAGATAACCTTCTTGTCATTTCTGGTAATCGGCCACTCTTATTGGGCTAATGAGGTCTGGAAATCATTAACTGCTGAACAGACACAGTAATTTCCTATTAATATATGAACAAGTGTGAGTTAACAAAGCGTGATGCTTTTTGGTGAGAGAAGAGAAACATTTTCTAAACATTTGAAGGCATACAAAACAACTTTTGCTCGTTAATATTAATTTAAAGGAAAGTATTGTTTTGTATTTTAAATATGGTCCAATTTGCTTTAGTTTTACCTTATTTCCTGGAAGCTGCTCTGGTTTCATATTGTTTCCTTTCTGTACTGTTCTGGCTAATATTAGTTTTCTATATCTTGGGAGATTTCTTTCTTTCTTCCAAAGAAAGAGAATTCTGTAGCTTAGATTAGGATTTGGCTTGAGAGAGATACCGATACTAGTTTTTTAGTAACCTAGTTAATTTCTAAAAAAAATAGAGGTTATAACTGAAGTAGTGCTACAGATCTTACTGTTCTAGATTGTTTCCGCTTTCTTTCGCCATTCTAAATTGTTCTCCCTACTCTCTGCCCAAGAATTAGAGATTTCCACCCTTTGCTTTCCCAGATTTTTGCAGGAGATGCATCTTACAAGCTGCATAAGCACACCTGAGATTTTGTGATGCAACCATGAGGGCAGGTAGTCATTGGAAGGAACGAAAATTAGTTTTCAATATATGGATCTTAATATATAAGTACCATGTATGTAAATGTAAACTAGGAATCAGTGGAGGCTTTTTTGTTTTTGTTTGTTTGTTTTGGTAACAGGAAACTTGTGGCTGGGGATGTTTTGTCTTTTCATTATGAGACTTTTGATTTTTGAACAGTAATTTAGAAAAAGCTGGCAATATAGAGAGTAGATGAGGTGCCATATATAGCTGCTGTTTGTAACTTGCACCAAAAGAACATAGGACTCTATTTATGGAAGGGGGTTGTATTATCTCCCCCATTAGCCCAACCCTTATTACTCTTAACAGTAGAGACCATAACTTGAATAGAGGACCTCAAACCTTTTCAGGCCCTCTTACGAACAATAGCTAGTCCAATAATAGGAAAAGGAGACTATTATTGCTTCTCAGAATGGAGGGGTATCCAAGGCCCACTCTGGCTAGGGACTGGTGGTTTTTAACCAGATCAAAAATGATTTGGTAGCGTGTGAGTAATCAAGGGAGTTTTTGCTGATCCACTTCAGCAGAGCACACACACACCCAAAGGCAGTTATCCCAGAATGGCAAACCACAAGAGAAATGTAAGTAGTCTACTGTAAACAGGACTAATCATCATATTACATGAAGAACTGGTTTGACTCACTGTGAAGAGAACTTGCCAGAGACTGAATGAAGAGAAGCAGAGCCATGCATATACTGCTTTCACAGCCTAACTTTGATCCGAGAAAATTATAAGCTAGTGAAGGAACTAGACTATTAGGCCTTTTACTGTAAGATCTTGGAAATAATCGTATAAATACACCAGGATTGAAAAGCTGATGATTTATGGATTTATATATGGATAAGGGATCAGTTAGGGGCTCCAATTCTGGGGTTACTCTCTAACTCTGGAGAGGAATCCAGAGAGCAGGTGTCACTGCAGAGAATATACTGCAGGTATATCCCAAGGTAATCTAAGTAACCATTGAAGTCTGTACCAGGAAAAGCTATCTGCAAAACTCGCTACAATTAATAGATATGGTGACTATCTGACATCCTAAGGGTTGGTCAGGGCGTTCCTCACTACCAGTTGCTTTATTGCAAATTGTGTTCTAAAGGCCCTTGATTGAACTCGATGGAAGAAATTGCTGAGCCAGCTTGGCTGTGGACACGATCAGAAATATCTCTTATTTACGTTGCCCCCATCAAGGTCAACGGATAAAAGTGCTTTCTGAGTCAAAATTGATTCTGAGTGATGGCATCCTTGCCATTTTCTTGACATTATTGCAGAAGTATCTTTAGGTCTAGCCAAGCTCAACAACATTATGAGCCTGGTCTGTAGTTCTTGCAGTAAATTAGCTTTTAGAACGGGGAGGATCTTACTATATGAGAGAAATAAGTAGTAACGAAGCCCAAAGCAAATACTGTTGTCTACGTTCTTCTGCTGACTTAGCTGCACAGAGTAGATTTGAGCAACTACATAGAATTTTAGTCACCACCCACACTTGTTCTGACTTGCTTGGCAGCGATATCTTTGTACTGTGGTTGAGAACGATGGGAAAAGAATTGGGAAATGTTTCTGCCCCCAAAGACCTGGGTACTCACAATCCTTTTCTTCCCCCTCACAGGCATGCTGGTGGTGAACGTTACCTGGAGGAATAAGACCTATGTGGGAACACTACTGGATTGCACACAACATGATTGGGCACCACCCAGGTAAAACCCAAGATGAGGAGACTCTCTTGCTGCGTGCTGATAGTATGTGGTCGTTCGTGAGCTGTAGGTGGAGGGGCAAGGAAGATGTCTGCTAGAGAAAATACTCCAATTTTAGGAAATATTGAGAAACTGTGCACTTTCTTCCCCTTGCAGTGTAGGTCCTAGTCCACCACTTTTAAAACAAAAAAAGGGGCCTTAAGACCTCAAGCAGCTGAAAAAAACTTGCGTTAGGTAATCGGCCTTTTCATTTTTGTGTAGGAAGCTGGTGAGGCAACTTCGACCCAGGAAACCAACCCGTGTTGTATCTTAGCTGAGCCCGTTGAACTGCTGTGTGGTTTTTTTTTTTATTGAATTACTAAGAGGGAATTGGGAAAGGTTAGATAATGGATTGTTCAACAACTGTCAGATGGGGACTGTGCCTATTTGAATGCTCGAGATGAGGGATTAAAAGCTGGGAAACTCAGGTTTGAGCTTGCCTAGGTACAAGCAACCAGGAAGTTGCCTCGGCCTTGGTGCTAACATTCTAGCTTTGGGAGATAGCAATAAGCACTCAGACTTATATACCGCTTTACAGCCCTCTCTAAGCACTTTACAGAGTCAGCATATGTCCCCCAACCATCTGGGTCCTTGTTTTACTGACCTTGGAAGGATGGGAGGCTGAGTCAACCTGGAAGCCTGGTGAGATTCGAACTGCCCAATTTCAGGCAGCCGGCAGTCAGCAGTAGCAGCCTGCAGTATTGCACTCTTAACCACTGCGCCACCATGGCTCCTGTAATAGTCACTTGCAGAGAGAGAAGATGGCGCGAGGGCTACACTCAGTGTTTATTCTTAAACTTCTGCTCTGCTACCTCCTAGATTCTGTGACTCTCCCACCAGCGACCTGGAGATGCGGAATGGCCGTGGGAGGGGCAAGCGTGTGCGCCCCAATAGCAACCCTCCAGTGGCCGAAAGCACAACAGCCACGGATACCAAAAGCTCCAGCAACAGCAGCAAGACTCGGGCAGGGACCAACAGCAAAGGACGCCGAGGCAGCCAGAACTCCTCGGAGCATCGCCTCCCTGCTGGTGGCGCTTCGGAAGAGGTCAAGGCCAGCCCTTCGTCGGTGACCAAGCGGAAGAGCAAGCCTCTCTCGGACATGGAAGTGAATTCCAGCTCCGAGGATTCTAAAGGAAGCAAACGTGTCCGCACAAACTCCATGGGCTCCACGACGACACCTTTGGTTGTGGCGGCGGCTGCCGCTGCCGCTGCCGCCACCACGGCCATCAAAGTGGAGCCTGCCATTTTGGATAGGAACTGCCCCTCTCCCATTCTCATTGACTGCCCCCATCCCAACTGCAGCAAAAAATACAAGCACATTAACGGACTCAAGTATCACCAGGCCCATGCACACACGGATGATGACAGCAAGCCTGAGGCCGATGGGGATAGCGAGTATGGAGAGGAGTCCTCTCTTCCGGCTGACTTGAGCAGCTGCAACGGTGCTTCCGGGAGCCAGAAGGGCTCCCTTTCCCCAGCCCGCTCGACGACACCTAAAGTGCGGCTGATGGAACCGCACAGTCCCTCGCCATCCAACAAGTTCAACCTCAAAGCCGCTGGCAAGAAGAAATTAGGTGCCGAAGGAGATCCCGATTCTGGTGCTCTTTCTAATGATGGATCGGAGGACGGTCCTTTGATCCCCGACGAGACAAGCAATGATGGCTTTGACTCGGTAGAAAAGAGGACCAGTGAGAAAGAGAAGACGAAAAAGCTGGTTAGCATCAAGCCCGAGAAGATCAGCTCAAAGAGCATCAAGTCCGCCCGACCCATCGCCCCGGCCATTCCACCTCAGATCTACACTTTCCAGGCAGCCACATTCACAGCTGGTAGCCCCGGCTCCTCCACGGGTCTCACCACGACTGTGGTCCAGGCCATGCCTAACAGCCCCCAGCTGAAGCCCATTCAGCCGAAGCCCACTGTAATGGGCGAGCCTTTCACGGTCAGCCCGACGCTGACCCCCGTCAAGGACAAGAAGAAGAAGGACAAGAAAAAAAAAGAACCCAAGGAAGTGGAGAGCCCCTTGACCCCCGGGAAAGGGTGTCGGGCTGAGGAAGGCAAGAGCCCCTTCCGCGGGGAGCCCGGCGATCTTGGGGCGAAGGGGGAGAGCCTCCTCAATGGTTCCTCCGACCCCCACCAGAGCCGCCTCGCCAGCATCAAGGCCGAGGCCGATAAAATCTACAGTTTCACCGACAACGCCCCAAGCCCATCCATCGGGGGGGCCAGCCGGTTAGACAGCGCGGCCCCCACGCAGCCCATGACTCCCCTTCATGTGGTCACCCAAAACGGGGCCGAAGCCAGCTCTGTGAAGACCAATAGCCCAGCTTACTCGGACATCTCCGATGCCGGGGAGGACGGGGAAGGGAAGCTGGAGAGCATGAAGGCCAAGGAGCCTGATCAAATGGCCAAGGAAGGGGCCAAGAAAGCCCTCTTCCCTTCTCAGCCCCAGAACAAGGAATCTCCGTATTACCAAGGTTTCGAGGCCTACTATTCCCCGGGTTATGCCCAGTCGAGCCCCAGTCCCATTAATCCCAGCAACCAAACGTCCATAGAGAGCCAGGCCCTGAAGCTGAAGAAAGACGAAGAGCCCCCAAGCCCAGAGGTGAAGGTGAAGAACGAGGCTTGTGAGGAGAGGAAGGCCGAGCTGGGTCCCTCAAGCCAGCAGCCGTCGGTCATTCAGCAGAGGCCCAACATGTACATGCAGTCGCTCTATTACAACCAATACGCCTACGTGCCTCCCTACGGCTACAGCGAGCAAGGCTATCATGCCCACTTGCTCAGCACTAACCCAACCTATCGGCAACAGTACGAAGACCAGCAGAAACAGCGCCAGGGCCTGGAGCAGCAGCAACAGCAGCAGCAGCAGCAGCGTGCGCTGGACAAAAAAGTGGACTTGGGACTGAAGGAAAGGGAGGTGATCCTGAAGGAGGAGTGGAAGCAGAAGAGTTCTCTCCCACCCACTCTGACCAAAGCACCCAGCTTAACCGACCTGGTCAAACCTGGACTCAATAAGGCCAAGGATCAAGGAAGTGATGTAGCCAAGTCAGTCATTATCCCCAAATTAGAGGACTCCACAAAACTCCAAGGCCAGACTATAGAAGGCCTCAAGGGAAAATTAAACGAAAGCCACCTTGGCAAAGAGACGGCAGACTCCAAGGCAGGTTTGGACTGTGGTCGACAGGCTGAGGTGGACCCGGTACTTTGGTACAGACAGGTAAATGAGGAGGAGCGGGGCGGGGGCGGGGGGGTTGAACTGGGAGAGCTGTTGTCAGAATGACTAATCCCTGGGTGCAGAAAACTAGACGGAGAGGAAGTGCGAACAGCATTAATGTGGATGCTTGTTTGGTTTCCTGGGTTTCTGGATCTTGGAGTCTCTGCCAAAATAAATATACGGCTAGTGCAACTGTAGATGGTTGGGTCCGATTTGTTGGCATTTAATTCAGCCCTGGGTGGTATTTAATCACTCCCACTGCCCGCATTAATATTTTTGGCAGCCAAATAGATGAAACGGAGCTATTGCTTAGGAATGCATGCAGCAGAAAAAGCGTAAGAATTGTGTAGCTTTTGTCTTACTTTGATCA